CAATTCTAGAAATTCTTATTGTAGATAGATGCTTAAGTTTGAAGTTTAAAGCTTCCTAAGTCATAGCTATATAATGCCTCATCAATTCTGAGCAAAGTAGTTTATAGGTTTATTATTCTTTTTCGGATCACTGTTCTTTCATTTCTTTTTCATTCTTTTGAACTCATGCACGAACTTTAAATTTTGTGTAGATCATGATTTTGAGTGTCTTATCTTTACTTTCCCTTTCTTTTGTTTCCAAGGGACCATTCTACCCACTGTTCTCGATAAATTTCTCTTTCTGGAATTTGATAGATTCACTTAATAGTTACAAAGAAAATGGGAAAAAAGAAAGAGAAAAAGATCCATTTTGGTGATATATTCTCTCATCATCAATAGCACTTGGTAACTATAAATCCATCTCACCTTCTGTAACTAAATTTACGTTACTCGGTAGCCAACTTTCATTTAGGATTCCATTTTATTTCGATTAGCAATAGCTGAATATGTTTCCCAAAGATATACCGGATGTGGATGTTTCGTATATTGTATTATACAAAGACTGTTTAACAAACAAAATTTTATCTTCATTTTCTTGATTAGTGGTGTTTAAATCTATCCAATTCTTCATACCAAACATGCCAGAAGTGGGTCATCCTTTGCGTTCTCTCGTGATTAGTGTACCTTATTTATCTACGGTTGGTTTTCTAGATTACAGTTATGTATTCTTCTTCTTGTTGGATTCTAGTTCATTTGCCAAGACTTTTGTGCAAAATAAATAACTACATTATCATTACGTGTATTATTCTTCTTTACCTATGTGGATATTTGATTTATGTGTACCTTTTTATTACATTTATCTGAAGACGGGATTTACATTGGCTTGCAGAAATTATGTTGTTCAGTTTATTTTAGAACTTAAGATCCCTTCCGCCGAATCCAAGTTGACATCTCAGTTTGAGGGTAACTACGTGCATCTCTCGACCCAAAAGTTTGGTAGCCATGTTGTTGAAAAGTGTCTCGTGGTGTGTAACGATGAAACTCGATCAAAAATCATCCACGAATTGCTCTCTGCAACTTATTTTGAGCAGTTGCTTCAGGATCCACATGCAAATTATGTTGTTCAAACAGCTCTTCGGGTTTCTGAGGTATGCTTTTTTCTTTAGTCTATTGTTGCTCGCCACTTGGTTTTGGACAAATATTTATATGAAAACATGTATCTTTTCAAGCTTGAATTTTATTTGGAAGCATTGTTTATGAAGCACATTGTGCAAATATAAATAGATGACATCCCCCTTCCTGCCAAACCTCCCTCCAACATGCACACGCGGTTGATCTACTCATCCAAAAGTTTAATATCCTTTGACGAAAAGTTTCAACTGGAACAGGGTCCGGTTCACAATTCGTTGGTTGATGCAATTGAGTCCCATAAGGCAATCTCCCGCAACAGTCCTTATTCCAAGAGGATTTTCTCTCACAAGCTCTTGAAGAAGTGATGTATACTCTCTCGGGATTATGTTGTTGTTTTATCCTCTGACTCCATTTCCAACGAGAACTGTGTGTATGAGCTGGTTCTTCGTTTCTTCACGAGCATCAGCCACCAGAGCTTTCGTCAAGTTTGCTCGAAAATAATTGAATGGTTGGCCTTTTATCCATGCAATGTGTAAAGGGTTGGCACATGTGCTTTTAGTTGCTTAATTATGAAGACTCAGCGTACAAATTATGTTGTCAATGTACCTTTCAGGATGATTTCCATCTCCTTTGCCTGTGGGATTTTCTCTGTATTACTACATGGTGTGTAGACATGATTTTCTTTTGCAGCACTGTGTAAATGCAACTTGGATGTTTCGTAATAATGTAGTTGTTCTATTATTTGCAATCCAAAATGTGTTTCTTCAGGACTTGTTTGGTAAGATGAACTGTACATCGATATTAAAATAGAAATTATTGTTCATTGTGTCGCCTACTTGCCTCGTATTGTTTGATTATTATGTGCCAAACTTCTTCTTTGCCCCACTTTCAACCTCACCTTGCCTCACAAACAGTTAGCCCCGCTTTGTATAACAAAAAATCACATTTGTAGTAGATTTTGATAAAAATGGACGAAATATGTGATTGAAAAGTCGAGAGTATCAAATATATGATAAAAATTAATTATTAATTTTGAATTTTGAGCTGTTGCTGCAGGAGCCACATGCAAATTATGTTGTTCAAACAGCTCTTCGGGTTTCTGAGGTATGCGTTTTTCTTTAGTCTATTGTTGCTCGCCTCTTGGTTTTGGACAAATATTTATACGAAAACATGTATCTTTTCAAGCTTGAATTTTATTTGGAAGCATTGTTTATGAAGCACATTGTGCAAATATAAATAGATGACATCCCCCTTCCTGCCAAACCTCCCTCCAACATGCACACGCTTTTGATCTACTCATCTGAAAGTTTAATATCCTTTGACGAAAAGTTTCAACTGGAACAGGGTCCGGTTCACAATTCGTTGGTTGATGCAATTGAGTTCCATAAGGCAATCTCCCGCAACAGTCCTTATTCCAAGAGGATTTTCTCTCACAAGCTCTTAAAGAAGTGATGTATAGTCTCTCGGGATTATGTTGTTGTTTTATCCTCTGACTCCATTTCCAACGAGAACTGTGTGTATGAGCTGGTTCTTCGTTTCTTCACGAGCATCAGCCACCAGAGCTTTCGTCAAGTTCGCTCAAAAATAATTGAATGGTTGGCCTTTTATCCATGCAATGTGTAAAGGGTTGGCACATGTGCTTTTAGTTGCTTAATTATGAAGACTCAGTGTACAAATTATGTTGTCAATGTACCTTTCAGGATGATTTCCATCTCCTTTGCCTGTGGGATTTTCTCTGTATTACTACACGGTGTGTAGACATGATTTTCTTTTGCAGCACTGTGTAAATGCAACTTGGATGTTTCGTAATAATGTAGTTGTTCTATTATTTGCAATCCAAAATGTGTTTCTCTAGGACTTGTTTGGTAAGATGAACTGTACATCGATATTAAAATAGAAATTAAATCTTGTTCATTGTGTCGCCTACTTGCCTAGTATTGTTTAATTATTATGTGCCAAACTTCTTCTTTGCCCTGCTCTCAACCTCAACTTGCCTCACAAACAGTTAGTCCCGCTTTGTATAACAAAAAATCACATTTGGAGTAGATTTTGATAAAAATGGATGAAATATGTGATTGAAAAGTCGAGAGTATCAAATGTATGATAAAAATTAATTATTAACTTTGACTTAAATTTTATTAATTTTTTAAAGGGTTTAATCAATGGAAAATTCTATTTGTACAACCGAGATTGACGGGGTCCGCATGTTTTTTTTTAAAAAAAGCAGACCCCCCATGTGAGTAATGAAAACATGAAAATTTGTTTAAATCAAAACAATGATAAATCAGCTAATATGATTTAATTCTACAAATAAGTACTTACAAACATTATGAAATTATGACATTACATACATGGACCAAATTATGATGTTCAAAATTGTCTAAATCAAAAATTGTATAATACTAGGATCATATTATGACTTTCAAATTCTGAAATTTATCATCAGAATTGCAAACATTCAAGAGACACATTTTGATTTTTATATTGATTCAATGACAATTTATGTAAATAATCAAATTCGAAATTTTAACAAATCTATGAATGAAATACAACTTACAACATATTCAGCTTCTGACACATTATTGTAAAATTTCGGCTTTGAAATTGAAATTTTTTTATGCAGATTCCGTGATTTCTCGGTTCCAGTTGAATAAAGTAAATACAGTTTGATAAAGCAACGGAAGCCATTGAAATTTTTTAATTGATTTTCTTTTTTTGAAAGATGCATTGAATGTGAGGCGTGATCATTATTAAAAATATTTCAATTATAAATTATCATTTGGGTTCGATTATTAGAAATTAGTAATTTTTAATATATTTCATATACAAATAGTATTTTTTGACATTTAAACAAATTAATAAAATATACAATAATATTTTGTAACGATGCGTATACGAAGTGTTTTGAAAAAAAAAAAAAATCCAACAGTGACAACTGGATTATGCTAAGTGAAGCCGAACCAAATGCACAAAGCTGACCCTACAAGTGTCGCGTGCTTACACCAAAAACCAGTCTCTCACTCATCTCCGTACTACTTTTACCTATACAGCCGGCACGTGTTTCCTTCTCCAGAACCTTAATGACACGTGGACCAATATTTTTCTAGTAACAGATCGCATCTCGACTTGCTCTCTCGTCCACGAATTTTGATCCCACTTGCCTTCGTTTGGATCTCTTAGCCACGTGGCGCTCTATCCGTGACTCCCATATATATATTTATTCAATTAATCAATTAAAATATTCGTCAAATTTTTATCCTCATCCTCCTTTTTCTCTCTGTAACCTCCGATTCCGAGATTTGTGATTCAAATTTAGGGTTTCTGCTGTTTGCTTCGTGGAGTTAAATCATCATTTCCGAGAATTATTGCAACTTTTGCGTCGTTTTTATAATTGTTGGTGAGTTTTCCGGCTAGATCTTGTTTTAAAGTATTAACTGTTATTTTATTGCAGATTTTTGTTGCTGTCGACTGAATTGGTTTATTGTTTAGATTTTTAAATTCGTTTCACGAATCAAGCTTTTGATTATTTCCGAGGAAAATTGAATTCTGGAGATTAAATTTTAGTTTTTGCAACTTTGGTACTGTGCTAATTGAGTCAAAACTTTTATACTCACTAATTTTCTGATGGAAACTACCTAAGCTCTTTGTATAGGTTCTATGTATTTCAGAGGCACTATTATTTCTTCATCCATTTGATTTTATATTTTATTTTTCTTGGCTTTCTGAAAAGTTTGAGATCGGAGATTCATGTATAATATAATGATGCAATCGAAAGGTGATTTTGAGATAGTATTAACACTTTTTTCCGTTCCGTGGATTTGGTGAAGGAAGGATTTGGATTTTAAATATAAAGAAACCTGAGTTTGATTGCAACCTGAAGACTTGAAGAAATGTCAGAATTATGCACCTACAAGGTAGGGTTTATTTTTTGATTGGTTAGTGTTTTAAAAACCAAATTTCGCACATATATAAGCTAAGAGATATCATTGATGAAAAGAAATTTTCATACTATTCTTATAAATAAATCCTCAGCAATAGTTACCTCTCTTAATTGCTTGATATATATTTGAAGTTTCTATGCACCTTCACCTTAGTCTAAAAGGTGCAGGTTAAAGACGCTAATCTGGTGGGGTAGAGAATTTCGTCTGGTCCTTGCATAAACATGAAAGAAACAAAGAGTTTTACCCTTTCAGAAACAGCAAATAATTAGAACTTTTGTCATTAAAATTGCTCTTGCAAACCTATGGCATCCCTTCCATTATTTTTATTGAATGGTTCATGCAAATGGTAATAGAACTTGGAATGCTTATCAGTTCTGTCATGTGTTGAGTCTATACTTGTTATAGCAGAAAAGTTCCCATGAAATATGAATTTCCCCATTGTAACTTGCCTACTTGTGGAAAAATTAGAAATAGCAATATCAGAAGCATTGCACAGGGCATTTTACTTATTAATGCTGGTTTTTGTTTGATAATATTTAGTATTGTAGGGGGTTAATAAAATTGAGACATTAAGATAAGTCATAAAACTTGTTGGTGGCAATTTATATTGTTGATGTTCAAATAATTGAAAAAAATGTTAATTTTTATCAGCTACTTAAAAAGAAAAATAAACTAGATCATAATACACTTAAGAAGACGTATCAGAAATACATATATATTCTAAAATAAATGAAACTGTTATAAACTAATTTTTATCAGCTACTTCAAAAATTCTCTTTAATAGGTCTGCGATATAGCACATTGAATTATTGGATTTAAGAAAATGTTAATTTTGCAGTTCTTACTGCATGCCTTCTTTTCTGCGAGTCCTGTCCTACTATCTAGATTCTACCCTGTATCCATTTTAAGTTGTAATATGTTGCATATTTTTCCATTATAATTTTACGAATTCCTGTTAATTAGTCTTATACGTCATTGGTCTTTGATCTATCTATTCAAAAGAGGTTATCCATTTCTACCACAAGAAGAAAAGCACAAAATAGTGTGTACTAGAGGCACTAAATTACAGGTCATTAAATGGATGGATTAAATACATTACATATCCCGTTAATGTGGAGATCACAGAAATTACACTTAAATGGATAGTAACATGTCACTAAATGGATGGACTAAATACATTACATATCCCGTTAATGCAAGGATCACAGAAATCACACATAATTCCTTTTATACTATTGCATGAATGTTATACCTGGAAACCGACTGAGAAGAAAGACAATGTTGTATCCCCAGCTTAATATCCTCTGGTTGAGGTTTATATTTACACTGGTGAGATTACTTATTGATTGTAACTTTTACTATTCTGCCAAAGTATGTCTCTCAGTTAATTTGGTAATGTTCACTAAGGCCCTTAGGACTGAATTATGGTTGAAAGTTTTTTACACAACTGTCTCGTGGTTCCCTAATTCATGAGTTCATTATTCTCTAATCTGTTGTTAATTTTTACGCTCATTCTTTAAAATTATTATCTGCAGTTTTTACCCCTAAAAATTCTGTAACTGCTGTTAACAGATTGAAGGTACAGTTTGGGATGAATTTTGCCAGATTGATGACCACATAGTGCCCCAGACGGGTGACAAACGGGCCAACAGAAATTCCTTTCAGGGTGATTATTGCAAGAAACCTCGCTGTGGAGTAACTTGTATTTCAAGTAATTTTATAGATAGATATAGTGATAGATATGTTGATCAGGAAAGAGAACAAGGAGAATATAATAGAAGGAGCTCAATATTGGATAAAGACTCATTGTCCCAAACGCGAAGTAGTTTGTTTCTTACTTCATCTGATAGCCACTCAATCAGAGATGTTCCTGGGTTAATATCTGATAATACCAAAACATCAGGTCATGACTTCGAAAATAAAAATACAGACTCCGTTGGTAGTGAGGTTTGTGCATCTGATCCAATTCACGATGAGAAGAGTACTTCAGATCATAGCCACTCTTACAGTTATCCACTTGGGGACACACCCCAAACGGACAATGATCTCAACTTTTTTGATAATTTTGAGGATGTTGACAGGATGTTTAGGTAATTGCCTGCCTTCTCCTTTTGAGATTAGGTGTTTATAATTTTCGCTGCATTATTTGTTTGCTCATCATTTGATCCTGTCTTTCAGAAGTTGTGATTCGACTTTTGGACTTGGGGCCAGCATAGAAGATGAATTTGGTTGGTTTTCATCATCCAATGCTCTAGGAGGATCTAGAGATGTGCCGAAGTCAGATTTTATGTTTTCATGTCCTGAATCAAATACAATGGAAAATATGTCAGAAAGCCATGACCTTTCAAAGTTGATCGTGAACTGCACTAGTAATGATTCAGCCTTGGCAACATCCCCAGTTGGGTCCAATGAGAGTTCTTGGCCCCTAGGTAGAGATGAATTTGCTTCTCATCTATCTATTGTGAATGGAACCTCTAGTCCAGACTGCAAAGAAGAGTTTAAGCCTAAAGATCAGGTTAGTGCATGTCATTGTAATTGGTAACGGAATTTCTTTCTATATAAATATTGAAACTTAATGAAATTTTGGATGGCATCCATTGAATGGTACTTTAAACACTTACGAATCTCGAGAAGGAATTATTCCTGCTAATTATTTGGGCTTATTTTTTAATCCTGATTATTTAATAGTTATTCATTGAAGTTTCATTAATTTTGGGGTGCAAATTTCTTCTTTTATTCGAGTCTTTAAAATCCGTTGATGCTGTCTCGGTGAAATATGGTATCCACTATAATTAAATGATTTTCAAACTGTTTGGCGATGTAACAATTTCAATGTGAAATACTTGCAGATCCATGAGTACAAAATGCAGTCAAAGCTCCAGAACCCATCTGAGAGAAAAAGAAAAGTACAATACTTGGGAAATGGTAGTTATATAAGTAACCTACCAAGTGAAGTCATTCAATTTCCTTACGGGGATGGATCTAATCAAGCTTTCCCATGTGTGGACATACGACATCAACAGCAAGGCTCCACATGTGATTCTGTCTCACAAGAAAAGCAAGTCCACCTTTCTGGAGATAAACTCGATGATCACTGTGATGTTGAAGGAGTCAGGATGTTAACTCCAGCAGAATTATGTTCCTCAAACATACAAGAATGCCCGTCAATGAGTTTGAATTTAGATGATATTTCACCAGAAGCAGTTAGTTTTCGCCAGCTTCAGCATGTCACAGAACAGGTATAATGTTCTTTCTGGATTTTAAATATGTAAGCTTTAAGTTGTGGTACATTATGAATTATTCTAATGGCATAAAACCTTCGAGGTTTAATTTATCTATTATTTTATATTGCATGGTGTCTTATCATACGGGAGACAAAAACTTCTAGAACTGTGTGCAAGTAACGCCATAATGGTACAGTAAGAGTCAAATCCAATTTTCATGTTCTAGTATTATCAACCAAAAGTTTTGAGTTTGAAAGAGTTTAACAGTTTATACAGTTGCAACTTCAGAAATTTTTTAGGTTTTTTGTTAGTTGACACTGCCTTTTTAGGGATGCAATTTATCAGGCTATATAGAGACTACAGAATTATTATTTGCGTCCGTGTAATGCTAAGGTCCAACAGACCGAAGATTGCTTTGAAACTTCAATTCTACATGATTATGTAGAGTTTGCAAATTCAGTCAAAATCAACACCAGTTGTTCTATTGGAGCTATATTACAAAGAGAGATCCTATTCAATGACTAATGTGCAGTTTTATTCATGACATGGCTACAAAGAGATATTGAGAACTTTCCTTCTTTAACTTCCTTGTAGTTTGAGTACAACCTTTGGTGATAAAAGTTTCATGGTATGGATGGTTAAATATGTAGATCAGGGGAAATTAAAGTGAATAGTTAAAAAGATTAAGATAGTTTTAGACTACTTACCTCGACAAGATAATCAACCTCAGTACAATTTATATATTACTTTAATGATATATATATGACCTTATCTAACAGGTTAAACTTTTATAGTTTCTATATTAGTAGGCATTATTTCTTGTACATATGTTTTTTCTTAGATAGACTACATTGTACACATATAATATTATTCGTACTGAAACATAATATCTGAATTTTATTCTCTATCATCTTTGTGTTCTTGATATCAAAGCAGGCAACGTAAGTACAAGGTTTGCCACTACCCATTTATTGAAATTATGCATGTGGCAGGCTTTGATGGAAAAAAATGAACCCTGCTACATGTGAAGGGGTATGTCGAGTAAAATATTTAAATGATACAAATGTGACATTATCTAACAACTTAAGCTTTTAGATGAAGTGGTTGAACGTATCTTTAAACTTTAGTAATTCACTTTGTGTTGTCTCTCATGTGTGGGTAACAGAACTTTTCAAGGGGGTCCAATGATTTAGATTATCATTCTAAGGCCCTCTTCCAAAGCAGTGAAACGAGAGAAAGGGGACAGCACACTAAATTGTCCATTGGACCATTCAAACACAAATTTTTGGTAAAGATACTCATCTGGTATAGGCGTGCACATTCATGTAGGCCCACGGGCAGGGCATAAGCTTGTACGTGTGTGGCCTATTAGGTAACAAGAACTAGAGTTACATCTTCTTTTTATTTCCATTCAATAGTTCTTAGGTCTTCCACACCCTTATATGCTAACTGCCTATCATTTTTGTATGCTCCATGTCTTCATAAATATTCAACTGCCTTGGCACTGATTGCAGTTAACATTCTTTGTTTAGTTGGACTTGAGGACAAAGCTATGCATAAGGGATGGTTTATATCGTTTAGCAAGGAGTGCTGAACAAAGACAACACTATGAAAACCTGAACAGCAGCTCCGGAGATGAAAGAGATGCCGGTGGAACATTTATGGCTGAAGGATCAAACAAGTACGTCACCATATATTTGCACATCAATAATATTCAATCATTCTGCATACGTATAACTGAGTTTGTTTTGCTGAAAATGATGCTAAAAATGCTAATGCCTTTTGCTCCTGTTTGAACTCTTTGATAATTGTCAATGACTTTTTCTTTATAGGTGCGCTGGATTCATGAACGTGGAAACCGATACAAATTCTGTAGATCGCTCAATAGCACACTTACTTTTTATGTGCCCATGATTCGTTCAGTTCAGAAACTGCTGACACAGAGGAATAGGTCTCCTGTTCTCCTATAAAAATTACATCTATCGTATTTGATGCATGAGCTTGTATAAAAGAAACGCACAAGTGGCCTCGAGTATAGATGCCAGTTTGTTTTTTATTTCTTGTTTTCTGTATTTGGTGCTTTGTGTGTGTAGGTTCCTTGTATGATTTCAAATGTTGTTTGATTGGGCTTTTTGGCGCATATTTCACCATATTCAGGTTTTCTGATGTACTGATATTTTCTGGAAACTTGTTATTGTTATTGTCCTTGGCAATTTCTCATTCTTCATGAGATCATAACATTGAATGATTGATTTCAATTTGGTCACTGAACTTCTATAAAGATGCCAATTGAGTCAATCCAGCTTCAATTCATATTCATGTGTCAATTAAAATATATATAATGGCAGCCTGTCAAGGGGAAAAAATTGGGCAAAACTTTGGGTTCTTGTCCATTTGTTCAACCCCACAAATCGTCCAGAAGTTGGAGTTGGATATGTCAACAAAATTTATCTGAATCGACATTCCCCATGCGCATGGAGAATGAGCGATTGTAAGAATGTCAATGAAATCTCCATTGTAAGAACTCTACCTGTATGAAACGATAGATACCGATGCTTTGAACAAAATATTGTTTTTTGTTTATTGGCAAGAATACAAAAAATCAAGTAATAAAAGGGGGCTCCATTGGAAGGCCTGGTAGAGCTATTTTCCCTTCCTTCATAGCATGACGTGCTTTCGTCACCCCGATGCTATGATATATCTTTGTTGATCTATTCTTACGACAATCAAATCACTTTAGAGTTCGAGTCTATATTTCTTGAGAAGGTTTATTCACACAAGTTTCTTTCTAATGCATTGCTAGCTTCATTTACTTATATACCACGATTGGATTGGTACCATGGTCTAGACATCCCTTACACGATCGGAGATTGAAGGATTGCCTTCTATGACATCATGCTCATATGTTCATTGACCGTAATGGCTTAGAAAGAACTGAAAATCGAACATAATAATTTAATATTTTTTTCTCATTAACGTAGTTGTTAGGTCATACTTAATAATTATGAAAGAGTAATATTATTCATCTAAAGTCTAAATATTTATCAATCTATGAATATACTCTAATGAATTTTTAGACATTGAATAATGTGTAAGAGATTTCAGTTCCACTTAACTCGATAGTCACCTAGACTCTAGTTGAATAGTACAGTTCATTTGAACTCCAAATGACGAAATTTGCATAAAATCATAATTCCATTCATCAATCCGTTTTCGTTTGAAAAAGTAGTTCTGTCCAAACCTCATCTTCTCCATTGACATGGACAAGTTAGTTGTTGACCAAGCTTGGGGGCTTATATACATCCAAACCACACTCAGTTGACACTCCTAGAAATTTTTAATTTTCCCATTTCAATACAAGTTGCAAATTTGATTCTCAGGGATCTTCAGCATGATCTTCTAGGATTTCTTTTGATGGCATTGCTCAATATTGGCGGAGCCACATTAAGAAATGAGTAAAGCTACAGAGACAGGGTGAATGCCAGGGTTAAAAACAGGGATTTAAAAGGAGCTGACATGGCATAAATTATTTGCTAAAAAAATTGGAGGGAACTAGACTTGGAGCATTTCCAGAATCGGACCGGTTCTCTATCACTTTTCACGCACAGAAACTCTCAAATAATTAGAAATAACCAAGGCCAAAGAAACCCCTTTTTTCCTTCTCCAAATCGCCTTTCTTCCTTCTCCATTACGCCTGATATCTGCTAGTGTGCTCCATTACCTTGCCCATATAATCAACCCGGAGCGGCCGTCGACGATTTTGAGAAACTACCTTCTCCATTACCTTGCCCGAAGAACTAGTTACAAAGTGAAGGTAGATTTGCGGGGGTTTTGCGCAACGGATGAAATCAGAGTTCGCCCCAAATTTTGAAACCCCAAATTCGCGTTAATCGGAGTTCGCCCCAAACTTTGAAGCCCCAAATTCGCGTTAATCGGAGGTCGCCCCAAATTTTGAAGCCCCAAATTCGCGTTAACAGGTAAATATTCATCCACATTCCCAACATTTGAGTTCAATTTTTTAATGTTCAATACTTGCAATGTGACTGGAAAATCCAACTGTGATCCTCCTTCTTCTCCGTTAGACAGAGGGACCTAAAGGGTTGGATTGGACTCCGGAAGCTCCAAATTCACGTTAATAGGTAAATATTCATCATCTTCACAGTCCCGACATTTTTTTCGCAGTCCATGTGTTCACAATTTTTTTTTTTTTTTTGTGTTTTCAAGTTCTATAGGTTCCTTGCGTGTTGGACTAATCTTTTTCATAATTCCATAATGGGTTCTGCGCCTGTGGAATTTTTATAGGATTTTATGGGCTATACAGTCCTTCAGAAATCAGAACCCAATGAATTGTATTTATGAAGTATTATTTGGTTCGTCGATTGTCAACAATGGGTACTTCGCTAGGAAATCATTCAATTATAAAAATAATTGTTATGTTCCTAATGAAGATCAATGCTACTTTGTTTCAAATTGAGTATTTGAACAACATTGTAAAGGAAGTCTTCATTATATTGTCATTTCATCATTTACCCTGCCTTTAAAAAGTGTTGCCAATCTTTATATTACTGTTATACAAATTAATTTACAATATTGTCGATTATGCTGAGGAAGGTTTATTGAAATGTACAATATTGCACTATTTTTTCTGGTTTATTGCTCTCGTAGAATGGGCAGAAGGAATTATGGGATCTGTCATAGTTGTAGAGCGAAGGGCCACTCCTTTGCCGAATTCCCACGAAAACGTTGATGCCCACTATGCAAGTCAAGATTCGAGAAGTGTTTCGTGGTGGAGAAAGAGACGGTAAACAAAGGACGCTTATTTCTTTGCTGCAGTGAAAAGTGTGGATTTTGGGACTGGGTTGTGAAAGAAGGATCAAGCGGCCATAGCTCCAGCAGTAGCACTTCCTCAATTAACCCGGTGACAAATGACAGAGTTGAAGATATGTCCCACATGTTCCAATATCGAGTTCGCCTCAATGATGAAGAAGAACTACAAATTTCGACGACTGTAACAATCGGCAAGGCAAATCCTAGCACGGAAGAAAATGCTGAAGGGAAGGGTTCGACATGATTAGTAGAAATTAATCGAATGGGGTACTACAGGGAAATTTTCATAATTTCAAAATCTTCCGATGCAGGGGCTGTAGGCAATAAATTATTTCATTTTGTCTTTTTGTAGCACACTGTTTATGTATATCACTTTAGCATAATTAGCTAGTGCTAATTACATTTTGTTCATCAACTCACTGTAAGCTTGTCTGGTGTACCCCGGTTGATATGAATTTGGTGTTGTAGGATTATGTACACTACATGGGCAAACACTACAGGAACTAGACATTAAAGCAATGGATGAAACAAATCTAAGCCAAAACACCTCTTTAAGAATCTTCATCAAGTATGATAGTGTTGGATCTAAGGTGGTGTATAAGGTAATTATTGATTTTTATTTTTATTTTTATTTTTTTTCGAGTGTCCTATATGTACCATTTCTACTATATCTCATCTAGCGTTACTCACCGTCTTTTAACATGCGGGGATATATGGCAATTTCTGATATAAACGTTCAATCATGAGACTATTGAACACTCGATGACACATTATTTCAATATGAGTTATGCAACAACGAGATTTCTATTTTATAGATANACACATTATTTCAATATGAGTTATGCAACAACGAGATTTCTATTTTATAGATATTTCTACACATATCATGCTCAATTAACAATTTTTTTTTTCATTTTAAAGGATCTCTACTATAATTTTGCACTTGATGGCTGATTTGTGCCCCCAAACTATGCCTATCAAAACGTATGTGGCTACGACTCTCTATTTTTATTAATTTAAGTTCACACAGATCGTTGCACACATATTACGACGTTGTAAATATCAGCTCGCGACATAGCTCATAATCGATCTAGTCGTGCTTAGCCTTTGTTTGGTTTTCGTTTTTTTGATAAAATTATAAGTTGATAGAAATGAATAATGATAAGTGGATAACAGTTGTTGATGTTATGAAACGGAAAATTACGTTTACTTTTGAAAATAAACTATTTAAACAAAAAAAAAAAACATCCCAAACAAAGGCATAAAATGATTAGATCAAATCACTGGCATAACCTAAAGTTACATGTCATATCAAATAATCAAAAATGTTGACTACCATCCTTTTTCTTTTCTTATTTTACTGGAAACAAAAGTGTTGATAATCTACAAAGCTGGCATTCAGTAGCTGTGCAATCACAAAAATATCATACAACTAAAGAAATGAATTGCATTTTCTGAGCAACAAAAAATAGAGCAAACACAGCTACTTGGACATTAAAGGACTTCCAAAATTGCAGCAAAAAGCTATTTTTTTCTGGATTGAAAATTTCAAACTTGTTCTCAGAACTGCAAATAGTTTAATAGAAAAGGCCTAGCACTTTTCCACCAACATTCTTTGTCGTAGCCTCTTCATGGTCCATGATGCTAGCAGATGTCAGCACAATGTATCCAAACTGAAAAGTAAAATGAGAGTCAAACAATCGAAGAAAGATATATATTGAAGGAAGGAAAGTAAGAAAATGAAATTCAATTTTCAACGTCAAACATGGGAGCTTAGAACTTCTCAACCTTATTTCTCAAGGCACGTTCGTACTGTTCGACAAATTCCTTCAATGAGGTCTTCGAATGAACATAACCATCAAAGAAAGCATTCATACTCTCACTTCTCTGTGTGGTTGACATCCCTGTCCAAAAGGTGGTTTTCAAAAAGCAAGGAACCCAACGCCCTCTGTTTTCGTATAATCCCGAAAGCCAATCATTTTCATCCAAGCAGTACCTATCAATCATCGATGTCCAACCGTCTTCAAACTCTTCACAGAACTGTGAATCATACACCAATCCATGTATAGCACGGAATATTGAATCCT